GCATGAAAAGATTTTGTAGAAGGGTTAGGAGTTCTAGGAGAACAAAATGCTTCCCAACAACTTCCAAATGCAACGAAACAGTGTTGAGTCCTATGCAGAAAGTGAGTTGGTGTCTTTATCCTTCTGACCACCTGGTCCCTTTTCGCCTGTAAAAGAAAGGTAGGGAGGAAGCTGTGTGCATCCAGAAGAGCTGGATATTCAGAAACAACTAGAATTTTTTGTCATATCCAGTAGAGACAGGCTCTTTAGTTGATCAAAACTAGCCAGTGCAAGTATCAGATTTCCTTCTGAATGAAGTTAAGCGAAATTCAGCTTCCACCTTTTCTTGCCTCATCCACATTTCCTGCATGTTCCCCAAATTGTTTTCAAGTCATTTGTAACATCCCTGATCTTGCCAGAGATTCTAAAGTAGTGTGAAAGTAACCTGAAACTAGAAAGCTGTGGGAACACTTCTCAGGGGCAAGAACTCCCCTTGATATTTGCCCCAAATGTTTCCTATTGAAGACATAAGACCAGCCAGCAGTCTGTTTCAAAGGATGTAGCTCTCCATTGTTTTACTGCCTGGGACTCTGAAAAGCTACAAATTTAAAGTAGGTACTTTAGAGGGCCAGTTACTACCCAAGAGGCAAACTTTTAGGTCAATACTGAGGAACATCAAGGCAAACTAAAATTATTTAAAACAAGAAACCCTGTTACTGACTTCTGTAACATGGAAACCTACGTTTTGCATTTTGCAAACTAGTCTTCCCATTCCAAATAGACAGTGAAGCCTTCAAATGACTTAAATTTACTCATTATCAAACATAACCAATTCTCACAATTTTGCACTGTCTCACTGATAATATACTGTCTGTCGCCAGACAAAAAGAGGATTAAGAATTTATTAACAGCTGCCTTCTTAGACTTCCACGTCATGTGGTTATTGCTAGTCTTGAAAACCTGGACTGGCCAGTTGGCTCAACTGGTAGTGTGTTGTGCTGACAACATCATGGTGAAGGGTTTACATCCCTGGACCAGCCAGCCACCAAAATATGAAAATAAAATAAAATGGAAAGAAAAAAACCTTCCTCACAAGGTTATCCTCAGTTGGTTAAAGTGTGGTGTTAGTAACACCAAGGTCAAGGGTTCGGATCCCCCTTAATGGCCAGTCAGAAAAAAAAGAGAGAGAGAGAAAACCTGAGTACCATTAACTTTAAGGAAAGAGACATGAGATTTTTAAGTCAGAAAGGAAAGATTCTAAGGCCAAAATGCTCAACTTAATAGCTTTCATTTACCTAAAAAAATGCAATCCAATTTCCTCATTTTAAAGAGTTCATTTTTTTTTTTTTTTTTTTTTTTTTTGTTTTTTTGAAC